GAGGCGGAGGGGAGGCGGAGGGGAGGCGGAGGGGAGGCGGAGGGGAGGAGGTGGATGTCTTCCAAGATCCTAAGTGAGTGTCATCTTCCAGTATTCGCTCTCGGACCTGAGTGTTTCCTACAACATGATTCTGGTGTTGGTGTTGGTGTTTTAAACCGTAACTGCTTAACTACGGAGTCCCTCGTCGTCTACTTCCCGGGTGGGTGAGGAGACAGAGGGGAGGAGGAGGACGTCTTTTCCTAAAGTCAAGTCTACTGTCCAGGTGAACGTTATTTTCTTGTGCTTGCTCTCGAGCCTGATTGATCTCGGTTACATGGTGTTCCTGTTGGTTGCTCTTTCTTTATCAAGACAGTCGTCGTCACTTCCCTTTTGACGCTCCCACGTGTTTGCGCAAATATGATACCCTTACTCACTACCTAAGTCGAATACGCAATATTCAGGCTGCCACTCCTCCACTCACCTTGCAAACGGGGTCCGGTGGAAATTATCGCCACCCGTGCCCAGGCCTATTCCAACGTACTCGGCTCCTTCCTTCGAAGCCATATACAACAACCTCACCTACTCTTGCCCCCACAACTCTTCTACACGACTCAGTCTACTCGAACACTCACGAACCACACAACTAGTATCTCCAAGGCCGCCTTCACCTCACTCCCACACAAACAACCAAACGTCCATCAAGATGAAGTCCATCACCGCCATCTTCGCCCTCGCTGTCCTCTCCACCATCACTCTCGGCAGCGTCATCCCTCGCGACACCGGCTCCTCACCCGACAACGCAAGTCCACACCCGCACCCCCTGTCAAACCCTCTCTTCCTGCCACATCCTCTCTCCCTGCTCTACCCCAGAGCTGACGACGAAGAGCAGCATGTGCACACTATGGCTACTACGTTCTGCAAGCGCTGCAGTGATGCGTATATCAACTGCGCTAACGTAAGTTTGGATTTGCTCAGGGAATGAACATGTGCTAATATTATTGACAGAGCTGCAAACATACTTCTCAGTGCGAGATCATCTGCCAGGGCGTTCACGTTGATGGCAAGTTGTGTAAGAAGGAGTGTAGTTGGACTCATTAGATGGGTCGTACAGGAGGTGAGTGGATGATATGTCAGTATGAATCTTCGGGTTCACAGACATACGAATGGAAAGGGTGATGGAAGAGCGGTGATGGCGTTCACGTCACTGAGAAAGCTCGGCTGTAGTACTGGTGTCTCATGGATAGCCTCAAGTCGAGGAAACTAATTACTATGACTTCAAGCTCGATACATGCCCTCCATGAATGTGATTCATTTTGACTTTTTTAAAGCCCCTGCGCCCAACCATTCCCCCCGCCTTCCAATCCTCCCCAACACACTTCAATTCGGCGTAAGCTTCAACAACCTACCCCCCGCCCCATCCTCAATCACCCATATCGCGCCCTCCTTGTCTTCCCGAATACCTCTCATGCGTTTACCCATGCTGATGCGCTGTGCCTCCGCCGCCGTATCGCCAGTAATACTAACCCTCACAAGCCCTTGTGCGCTAAGGCCGGTAATGATAGCATTCCCCTTCCACCTCTTAAACAAATCCCCTTTATAAATGATCAGCCCCGCAGGCGAAATAACAGGAACCCAATTCGCCCTCGGCGCCGCCATCTCCGGCCTCGTACTATGTTTCGGTATCAACGTGCCGTTGTAGTGCCGTCCTTCACATACAACCGGCCATCCGTAGTTTTTACCCGGCACTATCAAATTCAGTTCGTCACCGCCAAACGGCCCCATCTCAACCTCCCACAGCCGGCCCTGAGCATCGAAATCTATACCTAGCGGGTTTCGGTGGCCGAGCGTGTAGATCTGGGCTTGGATGGCGCCTTGCGATGCGAATGGGTTCCCGGCGTAGGCAGTCCCGTTGTCGTAGAGACGGATTATCTTGCCTAAGTTGGACGTCATGGATTGGGCGGGGTGCATTTGGTTTATCTCGCCCGAGGAGATGTATAACGCGCCGTCCTGCGGACCGAATTTCAAACGACACGCAAATTGAAGGCCGCCTGTGGCGCGCTGGGAATGCCGCCAGATGACTTCGAGACCAGAGAGTGCGCCGCTGCTACCACTCAGACTCAGCTTGGTGCGCGCGACCGCGCAGCCTGCGCCGCCGGAACCGTTTTCGGCGTAGCTGATGTAGACGATGCTGTTGTTTGCGTACTGTGGATGTAAGGCTACATCGTGCAGACCGCCTTGACCGGCATACGCGACGGCGGGGACGCCGGTGATGCTGCTCTTGGACTTTGTGGCTGGGTCGACGAGGAGGAGGTTGCCTTTTCGCTCTGTGACGAGGATCCGGGTGTCGGGAAGGAAGGCGAAGGCCCAGGGTTCGGAGAAGTCGATTATGGGTGTTGTTTTGAAGGGCTGTTGGCGGGTGGATAGGGATAGGTGGGGGGATAGGGCGAGGGTGGTTGTGGTCAGGGCTAGGGCTAGGGCGGAGGTGAGGAAGGGGTGGAGATGCATTGTTGTAGAGGTGGGTGTTGCTTTGTCGTATGTTGAGTTTTATGATGCTCGAGGGTGCTTGCGAACACCGTAAGGAGCCTCTTGGTTGTCTGTTCTTCCAGGCAGGCACGTATGCGGGCGTTTGAAGGACTCGACTGCTCTCTTTTACATGCTCGTCTCTTCTCGACCTCTGATGTCATGATATATACACAACAAAGATTAGAGTACTTGCACTTTATTGTCCTGGTGTTGGTGAACCGCATTGGTGGGGTAAGAGAAGGGTTGTCAAGGATAAAGTGCCAAGATCGGAGCCATGAAACCAATCTTGGAAGGCGCGAAGTGATCGATGCCAGACAAAAGGCAATTGGCGCGTAGCATCTAGCAACTGAGGCACTACTACGAGAGCATCGCTTGGCAAGTAACGGCAGATGCGTGCCGCTATATCGGGAATAATATTTGCAGGCATAATATAGTGGCCAAGAGTCCTGCGTGGGTGCTAGATATGCCGGTGGAACATCAGGCGCCATGTTCGAGTGTAGCATCTGCTGTGGTAGAGAGGCCTTGGTTCCGCCTGATTCATGATTAGTATTCTTTCCAACAGCCGATCATGAATTTGCGTTACCGTTGCATGTATTCGTTCAGGGGCCAGGTCTAGCTTCTCTTCTTCACTCAATCATACATCCCAGTCATCGTCAAAATGTGCGACATCACTACAATGTGGATCTTAACGATGCTGCTTCATCAATTCCATTCACTTCGGTCTGGCCGTAAGGATACTTCCCCGTTTCCCCGACATCATCTCACCTCCATCTCCAAATCCTCCTCCTCAATCGTAGGCAAAACCTGATACATCCTCTTCCCCTTCCCCATCCTCTTCAAACACCGATCCGTATGCAAAAGATGCCCCCTCTTCTGCCTCACGAACCCCGCAAAACACGCCGCGCTCGACGCAATTGCCCCTGCTGAGATATATATCGGTATGAAGAAGTCCTGCGGCTTGTACCAGATCATCGTCGTCGCAAAAGAGAGCAATTCGAAAAGATTCTGCAACGACATCTCAATAGCGGAGAAAGAGCCACGAGAGGCAGGAGGCGCGTCTTCCTGAACAAGGTACTGAACGCTGAGATCGAAGCCCCAGAGACCGAGGCGGGAGAGACAGAGGCCGATTACGAGGGCGCCGCCTGCTAGCATCGGTGCTGTAGTCGTGGGGAAAATGTGGAATAGGCCGATTGCCAGGGCGATGGCGACGAGTTGTTCGTTGATGAACCAGAGACCTGCTCGTACGGCGCCGATTTTGTTCATGAGCCACGGCGCTGCGATAGTGGCGGATAACTCGAGGATAACGGATACGAGCCGCATGACGGAGACGTGCGTGCTGGTGAAGCCGAGGGTGAGGAGGTAGGTCGTCATTTGCGAGGCGAAGGAGAGGACGGTGAGGTAGAGGAGGGAGAGGGAGAAGGAGGCTAGGAAGGCGGGGTTGGTGATGTATTCGCGGTACGGCGCGAGGTGTGTGGTTATGGTTTTGGTGATGGTGGAGCGGAGCGTAGTGGTATTTGGTACGGTGTCCTGGCTAGGCGACGAGGCTCGCTGTTGCAGTTCCGTAGCAATGTCTGTTTCAGACGCGGGTTTCGTCACGACGCCCTTTCCGACACCTAGTTCCGGTACCGCGGCATATACATTCGCGATGGCGAAGTATTCTACTAACACGCTTATCGCGTTTTGTGCGAAGACGGCCCAGATGGCGAGTTTGGTGGAGTATCCGTCTACGAGTCCGATGCCGACGGGCGCGATGAGCTTGCAGATGAGATCTATCCCGCGCATCGCGCTGTTCAGCTCTTGACGGTCGAGAGCTAGACTCTCGGATACAACGACGATCCAGTCGCGCTCCACGGATACGGTGTTGGCGACGAAGGCGAGTTTCTCGATGCATGCCAGCACCACGCTGATGAGAAATAGTCCGTAGGTTACCATCCCAATACCCTTCTCTTCTCCACCCAAACCCAGCATCGCTACCAAAATCGCACAACTCCCCGCTACACTGACTCTTTGCCACACGATACTCTGGCGCACAACCCATAATCTATCTCTCCGGTCAACCAGCCCTCCAATCCATGATCCGAGGACGGCAGCAGCAAGCGACCGGAAAAGCGCATAGCATGATGCGAAGAAAAGCGTCCCAGGGAATATTTTGGCTAGAAAGATCACAGCGCCGAATTCAAACGTGCGCGCGTTCCATGTTGAAAGTACATGTGAAGTGTACAACTTGGTGAGGAGGTGGCGGGGTGATCGTCGCGTGGGCGATGGTGTTGATCGGGCGGGGTACACTGGTGAGGCATGAGGAGAGCTCGTCTCGCTCGCCTCGCTCGTCGAACTCGTCATATCGTCACAAGGTGTATGAATGGGAAGAAGCAAAAAGGCAAACCGCGCCCCATGGCGAAGAAGAAGCTACATATCGTGTCGCAAGGTTCAGCTGCCTAATACCGTGATGGTCATGAGACGGGTGCCCGATGCTGTGGGAAACGGACGCCTGGGCCTTCCGAGTCGCCTCATGCATTGCGTTTGCACGTGTGGACCCTGTCGATCTGGTGGATGGGGTTAGGCTGTGTTGGGTTAGCGTCGCGAGGGTTGATGGATTTGATAGAAAGCAGGGCCGAGTAGTGGTGGTGAGGATGCTTCTGTTAGTCTGATGAGACGGGTTCGCTGGTTTGGTGGATAGCGGTGGGTGGGATGGTAGATGGGTCTTTGCTGTCCTGTCGAGTGTGCCAGTATACTTGCATGTAGTTGCAACTCCACATGATCAAGGAGTAAAAACACCGTGTTTCATGACGTTAAAAGCATAAGGAGGTCACGATGCTTAGTAGGAATTGCGGTAAGGTGTCTCGGTGTTTCCTAATGATAGTGTGGAGCACTAAACTCCAAGGACTGTCGATGTTTCAAGGCTGCGAGCGTGTCCTTAGCGCGAACCCTGGATCTTGGAAAGACGCGTTTCCGAAGGCCATTCCGTCTGCCAACGAACTCACATCCATGGAGCTCACCACACACTAACAATTGCCCCCGAATTTGTCGCAGTCTCATGGCTTTGTGCCTCCATCTCACACTTGATGAAGATGCTCGGCTATACGGCAAGGCGTCGAACGCTTGGCCAGGACGTGCTCGTGCATCCACCTACATGACGCGTACCTAGGTAACCTACTTGATTACACGTCCACCAGATCTCTTTGCTACAGGGCAGATGAGGCGCTCTATCCATCGTGCTAGAAGAGGTAAGCCAGCCCATATGACCTCGGGACCCCAAGACCGCTGCATGACTGACAATCGCAGGATGGCTCGTCCTACCGCTCGGCAGACACCCCGCTCGCTTCCAGCCTGCGCCCGCCTTCTTGCAGCCCCCGAACGATACTCCATCAGAAAGACCACCGAACAACGGCCCGCACTATGAGGACAAACAGGAGCGAAGCAAGTTTGCAAGGAGCGTGCTTGAAGGTAGCACGGTAGCTCTGATATCGCTGTTCGGCCTGGGCCTTGGCGGCTATGCCTATAGCCTGTTCTACAAGCGGACCGTCGCGAAGAAGATCGAGAATGCCTTTGCCACGGGATACAGCTCGCAGGAGCGGGTTGCGTTGGGTCGCATCTCATACGGCACGGAGCCAGACAAGATACAAGAGATTGTAGAGAGGGAATACTGGGTTCCGCGAGCGGAGCAGGAGGATATCGACAACGTCGTCAGCGGAAGGGCCAGGGGGAGATACTATCTGGTCATTGGCGAGCGAGGTACTGGCAAGCGAGCGCTACTCCTAGAGGCTATGCGGAAGGTCAATGGCGACGGCATTGCTATGCTAGAAGCGCACAACGATTTAGAAGTCTTTCGAACGCGACTCGGCAAGGCTATCGACTACGAATTTCACGAAGACTACATTGGGGGGTTGTTCAGCATTCGGGGCCCCAGGGATAGCTCGCCACTGCTGGATATTGAGAGAGCGCTCAACCAGATGGAGAAGGTAGCCTTGAGGCTGCGAAAACGTCGCGGCAAGCCTCTTCTCATGATCATCAACAACATCCATCTGTTCAAAGACGACGAAGCGGGAAAGCACCTACTGGAGATCTTGCAGCAGCGCGCCGAGATTTGGGCTGGCAACGAGCTTGTCACAACCGTCTTTACCTCCGATGAATTCTGGACCCTAGAGCGCCTGACACCACACGCGACCAACATGCACGTCATCAGCGTCAGAGACGTCCGAAAGAACGTAGTAACCACCGCACTCAAACAATACCGAGCCCGCTATCACAACGAAGACGTACCCCAAAGCATCCTCGACGGAGTCTTCGCCAAAGTCGGCGGCCGACTAATCTTCCTTAACCAAGTTGCGAAATCCCACGACATGCTAGAAACATGCAAGCAAATCAACCGAAGAGAGAAAATGTGGTTCCTAAACAACTGCTGGATCCTCGGCGACTCCATGGACGACGACGTGGAAGAACAACAGAAATACTGCGCGGCCGCCATCGTCCTAGCACGCGCGCTCGTCCTGCGCGAGAACGAGACACCCCGTTCGGATGATCAGTTTACACTTCCCCAGATTCCGCTACACGAAGCCCGCCAAATTATCACGCGAGCCGACTTTGTCCATCCGTTCGATCACATCAACGTTATTCATATTGATGCGCATGGTATGGTAAGAGCGGATTCTGTGCCGATGCAGAATGCGTTTCGGGAAGTTGTCCACCAACCGGGCTTTGAAGAGCATTTGAAGGCGACGCTGAATCGGTTGGATGAGCTGGAGAGTTTGGCGCGGACGAGGGAGGTTGCGATGAGGGAGCCGCCGGATAGGAGTGGGGGGATTGTGCCGGTGCAGACGTATTGTGCGAAACTTTGAGAGGGGGTAGAGGTGGGTTTGTAGGCATCGCTCATGTGCTGCTTGTCGCAGCAGTCTTGGTCTCCTGCTTTACGGCACAAACATTTGCAGCTTACATATAATCTCGCGACTGCGTCTCCAAAGTCGGCACACTTTCCAGCTTTCAGCTCCAACAGGTTTCGTCGGCAATCATGGTTTTTCTGACTCTGCCTGACAACAGAATCAGTGGAATACTTGATGGTATCAATGCGCTCGTTGATAACAAGGACTTCAAGTCCCTACGGCTGACCTGCCGACGTATTTACCAACGGACCCATGCGTACGCAGCCGTCCGGAACGATTTCAAGCTCTTCGAAATCGAAATTGTTTTCACCCACCGATCCCTCTGTCTCCTACTCCATCTTGCTAAAATCCCAGAGTTCCGTCATAAGATACGCACGATCTTCTTCCATTGGCCTCTCAGCATGGAATCAAGTGAAGCCATCTACCTCCTAGCAGAATGTCTGCGATATCTAGCCGACGCGAGGGAACTCTTTCTGATGGAACTCAACGCCGAAGAATTGCACTGGCTTATGTTCACGGCAATGGACCTCGCGCAATTCCCGCAACGTTGTCTTCTCTATCGTATCGAGATGAGACGACTGCTGGATCAGGACTATGGGGACTTTGGGCAATCGCCTTCTTCGTTTGCGCGCTATATGAAGTGGACTTCTACTGAAGATAAAACACCGACAGTTGAGTGGCATAGGTTTGTACCCGTTCCCGAAGCCACGGAAGAAGACAACGACGAAGCAGACAGCGGCAAAGAAGACAGTGAACAAGAAGAAGACAGCGACGAGGAAATGCAATCAGACGATGATGAAGAGTCAGAAGACGAGGAAATGCAATCAGACGACGACGAAGAGTCAGAAGATGAGGTAGAAGCATTTCGGCACAGAAAAGCAAATGAGTACAGGAAAGCGATCCGGGAAGGCTACCATGTTCGGGATTACCGACTCAACAAACCCCTTGTTGCAAGCTTCTTCCACGGCATGAAAAGTGTCCCACACTTGTACATTGACGGCTGCGACTTCTTTCCCCGACTAAGATTCTGCAACGCCTGTAACGATATCTTCGTACACAACATCATCATGGTCCCCTTCACTCAGCTCACTACATTCCAAATCGGACACATGTACGTCAGCGGCGGTCGTGTTCAGCATTTCATCAAACGTCACTCCAATACGCTTAAGAATATCGAATTCTTTGGCACAATCTTGACCGACGGCTCTTGGAAAACCGTCGCACAAGTCCTCAGACAGATCTCCGGTCTTGAGCACCTCAGGCTTCTGAACGATATTTGCCAGAGGGCAAAAGCTCATCCAACCAAACGCCGGCCTAAGAAGTACGTGCGTTACGATGGGTGGCGTACGCCGTTGGATACTCACGCGGCTGTTCGGAGGTTTCTGAAGGATTTTATTAAGTACTTCTCGACGTCTAGGTATGTTTATGAGCGTGTGCCTCTCCGGCCTTTGCCGCAATATTTCAAGGTTGATCTCTTCCATTTGCCGTCCAGGTAGGAGTCTGTATGAAGCATACGGAGTTCACGCAGGCTTTTTCCATCTTACTTCAAGTGTGGAAGGGAAGTAGGGTGCTGTAGAATAGTAATACCGTCAATATCCTTCTCTAAGTCGTTGTGTCGATGATACTCCATTCTAGAGGACCTCATCGGATGGGTGACATGTGGATCTTGGAAGTTGTGAGTCGCTAGTCTGCGTCGCGTCACCGCAGCTCTTTTCAGTACGCTCTTTCACCTACAGTAGCGATATTTCTCTTTTTTGGACTTTGGGTCCGTGCTAGCGGTGACGTACGCAGTAAAATATCGAGCAAACATTTCGTCAATATTCTGCCTGCTTGGCAAAAGTTCTCTCCTCAGGTCGGCGCATCACCGCCTGACCGCGTCCTCGACTCACCAACGCAGTCGCTTCGACAGCAGCTCGCGGACGCACATCGTTTACAGCCAAGTCACTATCGTCATTTCTTCGCACACCCCACCCGGCCCGCCGGAGATCATCACCCATGGCTCTCTCCGCGCTACCGACGGAGATTCTGAGCAGGATATGTCGCTTCATCATCTTGAAAGATCCTCCCTCTAAATCAAAGCTCCCTCAAGATGTCAAGTCGCTCCGACTGTCTTGCAAGAAGGTTTACGAGAAGACCCTATTCGACTCTGCAATTTGCTACGGAGGACTTCTAGATCACCTTATGGTGGCACCCACCTACAAATCCCTTGGTCGTCTGCTTTCGATCAGCAGCGCTCCCTATTTCCGAGACCGGCTTCGAGAAATCACGTTCTATATGCCCTTTTTAGGGTATACGAGGAGTTATCATGCGGGATATGCGCGCATCTTTGATCGCGAGGAGCTGGTCAACTTCGCAAACTCTCCCGACGCTATCTACATCCTAACTGAAAGCTTCAAAAACTTGGCGAATTCGACTTCATTGGTGAAGGTTCATCTATCCGAGGAGCTCACTTACCCCGCTGTCTTCAACGCACTCAACCTCGCGGCATTTCCTCGCCAGATTATCCATGTAGCAGTCATTCCTGCGAGCTTTCAACAATCCGCGCACAACCGATTCTTGAACCCTTTATCCGAGTCGCTGCATCTCATTTCGCATATCGAGATCGAGGCTACTCCACATCCAGATCCAGGAGAAGAGCCGTCGAGTTGGAGGAAATCCGACGCGGCGCACAACGAGACTGGCCGACACTACTCTCACTACAAATCCGTCACTCCTTTGCTATCAGACATGGCCAAGAACCTCTCAAGCGTCCAACAGATCACATTATACGGATGCGATACTGTACCACGACTTCGACTATGCCATGGATGTGAAGATATATGGCTCAACCTCTTCGCGAAGAACACGTATGCACATCTGAACCACTTCAAGCTATTCGAAAGCTACGTGAGCGGCAGCCGTTTGCGTGGCTTCATCAAGCGGCACGCTGGGACACTACAACGCATCGAGTTCAAGTTCGTGTCTTTGACAGACGGTACATGGCGCTCGATTGCTCAGAGTCTGCAGAAGTGTCCAAATCTCGACTATCTGGATACGGGTTCGGACACTTCAATGGGTTCTTGCTTCAGCTCTCTACGTCAAAAACACCCTGCGCCTGCCCTTTCGGTGAATCTGCCCGAAGGATACCTTGATAACAAGATTGTATACGTGTCGAGGTTACAACCCAACGGTTTCATCTGGCGAGTCATATTGCGCAATAGAACAGACGTTGTAACTTGGCTGGACATCTTCGTGCGGTACTTCACTACTACTGAGTGCGATGTACGCCAGAGTCTCGGCGCTGACGGCTATGAGCCTCCGATTTACCACAAAGCCGATGTTTTCTCGCTATCAAACCCAACAGCGGCTATACCCGATAGTCGGACACGAGCGCGTATAGCTATGGACAGGTATCTTAGGAGATGAAGGAAGTCTGAGCAGCACGAAGGCACTTACCTCTAGGTGGAAACACGGTAGCCGTAGCCAGGAAAAATTGGGCTACGTGGCTTGCTACCGCTTTAAGAGGAACCTCAGAGTAGGGCCTGTAGATTCTTTACCAACAACAAGGTCTCCGTACTATTTGAGTAGTCTCTACCAAAAGAAACACATCGAACAATCCCACTAAGACCATTGCGCGATATAAGCTGTGAACAGTTCCTTTCATCTACTGCGGTGGGCTCAATTAATTACCCAGAACAGCAAGACGACGATACAACACAGCGCCTCTCGCCATAAGTCATAGCCCAGCGAAACAACCCTCCAGAACCACCCCACATATCCCAAAAAATACGTACTGCATTTACCAATTACTTCGAGCTCGCACTGTAAGTTGCTACCTCATCGAAACCTTGCAATTAAGAGGCGCCTCACCCTTTGCTTCCCTTGTTTCCTACTTCCCTATCACGTCAACCTAGGAAGAGACTGAACACCATAGAGGATACATCAATGTGAGGCCACCTACCTCGCGTGTTTTTTGACGATTTGGTCTGCAGCGCTGCTTATGTCCCTTGCCATATGAGATGTGACGAGCCACTCATGGTTTCCACAATAAATTACTACTACATACGCAAAGGTACTCTCCAAATGATAGAGATCGCAATCATTAGACTCTGACACTGGTACACTAGAAGTGTTTACAGCGGATGCTTTTACCTAAAGCCTTGTTCAAATAGTGTTAAGTATAAGTATTACCTAGCTCTAAGAATTGCGATCTCTCTTATTTAATAAGAAGTACCTTTGCGTATATAGTAGTTATGTAATTTAAGAATTATAAGTAGCTTATCTTACTTTATATTATTATAGTACTATAAATAAAATAAAAAAGAACTAGAATATTAAATTATATATACTATAGTAAGTTAATAGTTAAGAAATATATAATGTAACTATACTTTAGCGTCTTTATTACTTTTACAACTTACACAACTATAGCTGCTAATATTCTCTTTGTTAAGTATTACCTAGTGGTGTACTAACTATACGAAATTGCGTTTAGTAGAGAGGGCATGTATTACAGCGCTTCTATAGTGCCGGGTATATTTGAGACAGTGTTATTGATTATTAAGGAAAGTTATCGATTGTACACTAATTCTAAATATGCCGTTAAGTCCAAACGAGTGTGTCTTTATTGAGATACCCCTTTCTTTCATCCAGAGAATACAGATGCTGCTCTGGTTCGCCACCTTTAGACCACAAGATGTTTCCTTCCCGTGTCTTCTCTGCTCGATGGAACAGGGGTATCTTTACTTGCTGTTGTCCTGCGGGTTGATCTTCGAGTCATCTTGGTGTGCCTTAAACAATCTGGCCGCTGCTTCGACGTCCTGCGGGTCGAAGGGGTTCTTCGAGTCCTCGTCGTGTGCCTCCAGCAATTTGAGCGCTGCTTCGACAACCTGAGAGTCATCGTGTCCTTTTTTGACTGCCTCATCCTCGAATGCCTTCTCTTCTGCGAGTTCCTTTTCCTTGCGCGCCTTGTCTTCTGCAATCAATCTTTCTCCATTCTCCTTTACGGCTCGCATTGCTGCCCTCCTCGTGTTCTCGGCCACTAGGTTTATCACCTGGGGGCTTGTAATAAGCTTGTCTCTGCCATCTCCACCGGTGTTGTTGGAAGAGGAAGCCATGGCTTGTATGTATAAGATTGGGAGACTAGGGTCTTCACGTATCAAATGCGTATTCGAGAGGTGTTGGTAATGTATCTTTGAGTGTAGATAGTGTATCTGGTAGTACGATAGTGATGGTTGTGGTGCCCATTGTTTCTACACCCATTGGCGCTCTTTATACAAGACATGACTCTTACAGACAATGCATGACTTCGAGAACAATGTATGATTGTCTTGAAGAAAACAGTCAAGAGTACCGCTTTGCTATCAGGTAATCTGTGCGTGACTATTGACTGGATGCTGTAGTCATTGTGTAACCATGTTGTGAGTCGCGTAACGAGGAGTCAACACCCTCCTCCAGTCTGAAGATGATTGAACTGGTATCTAGTGGTATGCGCATCAGATTATCGAGTCTGGATGAGGTATTTATTTCCACTTGGATACAAGTTCTGGGCGTATACTTCGAGATCTGGACCTTTGCGGTGAGCTGATGAATGGAAATTGATTCACATCTACACTGGACCAAGTCGACGCAGGGCCAGATGGCATGAAGCATGCTACCAGCGGCATAATGGCAATTGGAAGGAATCAAAAGACTCAAGAGCTGCCAAGTAACCTAGACACGTACATGATACTGCGTCGCTGCATGACTGCTTCGACCAAGACGACGAAATCGCAAGATGTAAGGGGACACTCATTGCCCACTCTGGATATTGTTGACATTTGAACGTGTCGAACTACACACATTAATACTCATGTGTGCTGCTCAGTCATTTGAGAGAGGAGGAGGTTCTAGTATTCCCACTACACCATGAGCAAGCATTGAAGACACGTATTTAAGTTCATCGATGGGATTGGCTAGTCATATGCGCAGTATATCACCCCCCCTCGTTTCAACGCGTCGAAGCGCAGTCCTACTAAATAACAATTATCCCTTTAGTAGCTCTCGCATTCATCCTCATGGCATGAACACTGCAACGGAGAATTCTCAAAGACCCTTGCAGTTGTTAGCGCACATACACGTTCATAGGAAGACACATATACATACCTCAATCGTCGAGTATACGCCGTGTTATATTCTTCCAATACCCACATGAGATAGCGCAAGATCTGCGACGCAGAGTGCTGGAATGGGAAGAACTGCTCGCAGTCCTCAAATTTGCATTTGTACCGGTGAAACTTTGGGCGGTATCGACGGTCTTTTGGATGCAAGGAAGCTACGCCGAACCAAAATCCGCAGAAGCTCATTGTGGATGCGGTATCTATGTCGTGGTCAATCGTACCATATGTATAGGGCACGGCCTCTTTCTCGACAACCTCTCCTAAACCGTTGATCCAGATCAAGTAGGGGTGGTGTAAAGGGTCGTCAGGTGCGTGGACGTCGACCATCATTGTTGTTACAACAGTCAAGCGGAGCTCCTGGAGAGAGATAGACCGTTCCGCAACGAGATTCTGGCCGCCTGAACCTGGAGAGAATGAGCGAATAGTAATTTCTCGGTCTCCCCGGCTTGAAGATGTCTCCAGCACTAATGGTAGTATGCTAATTCGCAAGTCTTCTAACGCGGTTAGTTTTGGCAGGTTGAATTCCAATACAATCCCGAGGTTAGAGGCATCCTCGATTATCCAGGGTTTTCTCTTGAATCGTTGAGCGTTAACCCTTTCTATTTCCTCAGACTCTATAGGCAAGGGAAACTGATGGCGTAGAAGGCGTGCGAGTTTACCAAATTTGTTGAACGTGCTACGCTTTTCTGTCGACCGGAGAATTAACGTATGCGGGGTCGAGTGCAGTATATGACTGTGGTGACTCTTAAAGAACTGTTGGTTGATGTGGCCAAGACCGAGTGGAAGCTTAGTATCGACGTCCAGATCTATGCGCACTTCTTTTGGGTGAGAGGTCGCTTCCAAAATAATTTTGTAGAGGACCTGGCCATGTAGACCAAGCAGGGTAGGTTTTGGACGTGCTAGAGAAAGTCGTCGCCCATCGTCCACAGCAACAAAGCTGTGCTGTTGATCGTAATCAGGTACCATTCGTGAGTCCTCCCAATGACGTTTAGTCCTTCTCAGGCCGAATGAGCCGCCGCGTCCGTCGTAGTCGATTGCGAGTGCCCAGACCTGGCTACGAGATGCCTTGAGCATTAGTTGGCCCTGGAGAAGCGAACGGATAACAGTCGTTATGGCTGAAGTATTGCATGTCATTCCGGTGGCAGACACGTTATTGGTGAAGGTGATGTCGACAGTAAGATTACAGTCCCAAAGCAATTGGAGTAGTGGTCCGATGTTGAAAGACTCAGGGTGAGGTCGTTCATAGTTTGCAAAGCCCCGACATCCTACCAAGGTCCAACATTTGGAAAGATCAATGGAGAATCTACGGTGCCAGGATACATGAGACCCTAGTTTTCTGAGCCATTCACCGTAGATATTCAGAAGGGTTTCGATATTTTGTGGGCCCTCTGGATTGCTTGGTTCGATGACGAATGTGTTTTCGGCGTAAAATAACGAAGCCGCTTCCAGGTAGATAGTTCGACACGACAAAAACAGGTTCCTGGGCATTTCGAATCCTGCACCAAGATAGAGTTTATAGATGTGTCTGGCCGGGGAGAGATCGACTTCGATGATGATCGGCTCCGAGTACTCGACGAGGTATCCAAATATCTGGTTTCGAATCTCAGCGGGCAGCTTGACAAGAGAGTGCCTGCTTGGGTCTACCGGCGTTGATTCGCCTGTGGCTATAGCTGAGGGGATGATATATGGAGGCATTTTAACGTCTCTTCAGGATCAAGCAATGAGTTTGGTGGGCGGAGTGGACGAGGTGGATGGTCGAGAGCTCTGCTGTGAGCGGGAGTATTGCTGAGACCCCCCACAGTATATAGGGGTAGAGACTAGAGGTTCTCACACGGTTGTTCGCAATGCTGTAGCCTTAGTCCCACGAGTAGAGTGAAACGCCAAGATTGCTGCTTCCGCGAGGCTAGAGAGTGGTGAATGTTTCGAGCTTCAGCTCTTTCCCTCCGCTTTTCGTAGTGAACTCGGTCATCGGGTCGCAATGGCAACGAGGCAGTGTAGTCCTCCGACCATCACTGGAAACATCAGTCCAACAAATTATGCCTCCAGAACCATCCTTCCTGACCGCCACGGCACGCACCGCATCTCTCTTCTCCCTAAGCCCCATCTGCCCCTTAAGCAGTGCATTAACAACGCTCACAACCTTCTTAGCGCATTCTCTTTCAAGATTCCCCATCCAATACTCCGCTCTCTCTTTCTCCACACCCGCATCATCCACATCGATAAGCCTAATCTCAAAGTCAAGACCGCGACTCCAAGCCACTCGGAGTAACACCGTAATTTCCACAACATCCATTCTAGTATCAAAGACCCTCGCCTTTCTGTCCAGATAAGTATAGAGAAATACACTATCTGGGAAAGCGAAGGTATCGAAAACAACACTTCTCACAAGCCCAGCTCTCGAACCCAGAGTATCGAGAAACTTGACGAGCGCGCTGACAAAACACGGGCGCGCGAAAGTAGCAAATTTGCTTGATCGGTTCAGCAGGAAAGTGTTGGTGGAGTAGAAGATTGATGATGCTTCTGCGTTGATCTGCCGACACGTCAAGAAGAAAGAAGTGGGTATTGTGGTGTTGGATGCATATGGCACGACTGGTTTGGGCGTGTTGCTTCTGGGATCTTGGTAGAAGTACAGGCGAATTGGGGAGGGGCGGTGGCAGATATGGTGGTAGATCTTGTTGCGGAGTTCGGCGGAGAGGGCGAGGAAAGATGGAATATTAGGTACGGCGGGTCTTAACTGATGACTACTGTAAGACGTTGTAGTAGCGCGCATAATGTGTAATTATGTGTGTGAGATACCTAGAGGATACAGGGAGAGAGCTTAGGAGGCGAAGCAACCTTTCATGCCTGTGTTTAGAGCTCATCGTCTGTGCATTACATACACTCATAGCTATGACATGCATCGGACAAAGTGTGAGAAGTCGCTGAGAACTGAACTTCATACCCATTGCAGGCAATATAGATAAGCCGATGATGTGGCTGTACGTGACTAACACGCGCGCAGTCATCGACTTAGAGTCATAGCTAGCGGGCTCGAGGAGTCATTCTGACTGGAACGCGTATGTCCTAGAGCTTTGAAGTAATACCAAGATGAGCCTCTGTATCAATATTTCAACTCCGCAAAATCTCGCCTTCACCTAACTACCCATCTACCGGACTCTGCTACAGTTTTCTATGTGTCCTAGTCATCAACCTTACTGCTTGCGTCATCGTCGTCCTTGAGCGGACAGAACTCTTCACAGCTGCACCGGAACGGCGGAGCCTTTAAACTACACCCCGTCAGTAAAACCACCAAGAAGACCAAAGAAACAAGGACACAACAACTTACTTCTTGAAAAACCAAGGATAAGGCTCCATCGTACTCATAAGATACGGCAAAACCTCCTCTGTCTCGCCCCGGAAAGGGAAAAACTGCTTTGTTTCATAGAAATCGCACCTCGGATTAGCCTCACGCCCTCGATAATTCCGATCGATCGGATGGAGACTAACAACAGAGTGGTATATCGCGTCAAACACGAGTTCAGAGGCAGGCTTCCAGGCACTACCCGTGTCCTCACCCGAACGATCGAGGGTCTCGACGACTTCTCCAAACCCGTTGATCCAGAAGTCGGGTAAATATGGGTTGCAATCGTAGGGCCCTGCAAATGCATAGTCCAGAATGGCTTTTACGACATCTAGTCGCAGCTTGCGGAGGGTTATGGTGTGGCTAGCTGTCATGGTCGATGATCCTCCGGGTGTTGGGGCCCATATCTGGATTGTCACCTCCTGACTGGGCGATGTGGTTGAGGTTTCCATTACGAAAGGAAGGATCTTGATGCGGATATCGCCCAAAGTAGCTGGGCTCCTGAGGTCGAATTTGAGGATATATATTACGCCAGTCCCCCGGCGAGAATGGCCCCCTGTCCCAATTGTCGTCGTTGACTCATGGCCGCCGTAGCCGTTGAATTTGTACGTCTTGCGGAGGAACTGCCGCAACTTGTCAAAGTTATCGAATGTGGTACGCGTATCGCTCGTTGTTGTTGTTGTTGTAAGGACGAAGTTGTTCTGGTAAAGGAATAAAGACCTCCAGCGCTGGTAGATCTCTTGGCTCGTATGCAGCAAGCCACA